ATCACCAACACCACTTCCGGCAACTTCAATCACTACTGGGAAATTTGATTAAATAAATTTTGAATTTTAATTTTTATTAATTTAAACTCTAATTTTTTTTAATATTTATTTTTGATATGAACCATCAAATTATTTTCGTTAAGTAAAATTGATAAAAAAAAAAAAGCATTCCATATTTCAATTATAACATGAAAAAAAGTTGAGCAGTTGAGAAAAGAATGAACAGAGTCACCCATTCTTCCTCCGACAACTTTGTTTTTTGCAGTCACCCATTCATCCTCTTCCCCTTCCTCTCTCCCGTCACCCCGACTATCACCAACACCACTTTCGGCAACTTCAATCACCACTGGGAAATTTAATTAAATAAATTTTGAATTTTTATTTTTATTAATTTAAACTCTAATTTTTTTTAATATTTATTTTCGATATGAACCATCAAATTATTTTCGTTAAGTAAAATTGATAAAAAAAAAAAGATATTTTAATTATTAAATTCAATCTAAGTGTTTAAAAATATATATATATATATATATATAATATTATTTTTCATGGAGTTTTAAAACTAACATATAATTTTTTTAGATCAATTTTTACTTAATGAAAATAGGTAAATAGTTTAGATTGAAAACAAATCAAAAGATAATAGTTTAAATTGACAAAATTAAAATTTTATTTTGTTAAAAATATAAAATCTTCAGATTTTATTTTGGGATATTTACCAATAAATCTCATCCCGCAAACAAGTACTCCAATTAGTCCCAAGTTTTTTCTATTGATCTGTAAAGTCCCATTAGTGGACAGTTTCTTTCCGTGTGGTCCTATTTTTTATTTTGGAAGTGTTTTGGTGGACAACTATACCCTTTTATTAATGTGACAAGTTTGATGTGATAATCCAATCTAACAGGTATTAATGTGACACTCCAATGATATGACACTCCAAAAAAATTAAAAAACCCTTAGTGTATTTTTTCTATATGTGACAACGTGGCGAGTATTATGTGACACTCAAAAAAAAATAAAAATTTCATATTGTACTTTTTCCAAATGTGACAACATGGCAGGTATGATGTGACACTCAAAAAAAATTAAAAACTTCTTAGTGTACTTGTCCCAAATGTGACAACGTGATGGGTATGATGTAACACTTTCATATTTTAACCATAACACGAAAAAAAGTTGAGCAGTTGCGAGAAGAATGAACAGAGTTACCCATTCTTCCTCCGACAGCTTCATTTTTTGCAACTGCCCACTCATCCTCTTCCCCTTCCTCTCTCTTGTCGCCACGGTTGTCACCAACACCACTTCTGGAAACTTCGATCACCACTAGCAAATTTAATTAAACAAATTTTGAATTTTGAATTTTGTTAATTTAAATTCTAATTTTTTGTTTTATATTTTCAATATGAACCATCGATTTATTTTCGTTAAGTAAAATTGATTAAAAAAATGATATTTTAATTATTAAATTCAATGTAAATGTATAAAAATATATATAAAATACTATTTTTCATTGAGTTTTACAACTAACATATAATTTTTTTGGGTCAATTTTTACTTAATGAAAATAGGTAAATAGTTTAGATTGAAAACAAATCAAAAGAAAATAGTTTAAATTGACAAAATTAAAAATTTATTTTGTTAAAAATATCAAATCTTCATATTTATTTTGGAATATTTACCAAGAAATCTCATCTAAAGAACAAATACTCCAATTCGTCCTAAATTTTTTCTATTGATATGTTAAATCATATTAGTGGAGAGTTTCTTTCCGTGTGGTCCTATTTTTTATTTTGGTAGTATTTTGGTGGACAACTATACCCTTTTATTAATGTGACAGATTTGATGTGATATTCCAATGTGACAGGTATTAATGTGACATTCCAAAATAATTAAAAACCCCTTAGTGTAATTTTCCTAAATGTGACGATGTGACGGGTATAATGTGACACTCCAAAACTTTTACTCCAAAAAAATAAAAACTCCGTAGTGTACTTTTTTCCAAATGTGACAACGTGACGAGTATGATGTGACACTCTAAAAAAATTAAAAATTCCTTAGTGTACTTTTTCCAAATGTGACAATGTGGCATGTATGATGTAACACTTCAAAAAAAATAAAAATTCCTTAATGTACTTTTCTCAAACGTGACAAAGTAGCAGGTATGATGTGGCACTCTAAAAAACAAATTAAAAACTTCTTAATGTATTTTTCTCAAAGGTGACAATGTAACGGATATGATGTGACACTCTACAAAAAATTAAAAACTCCTTTGTGTACTTTTCCAAAACATGACATGTGACACTCCAACGTGGCGGGTATGATGTAACACTCTGAAAAAAATAAAAACTCTTTAATGTACTTTTTTCAAATGTGACACTTTAACGTGACGGGTATAATGTAACACTAAAAAACTCTTTAGTGTACTTTTTTCAAATATGACACTCTAATGTGGGGGGACAAATGAGTCATTATACATCTAAAAGAACTAAATGGATCACAAGAAAAAATATGAAACTGTATATAGTTTACAAGTCCAAAATATGAAACTTATTAGTCAATCTCTCATTTATTTTTATAATTTATCGAAGAAATTTTAAAATTTTAAAAGGAGTCATTCTATAAATATCGTAGTAATATTCATAAATTAGCAAGTTAACAATATAACTTCAAAAAAGAAAATTCTATTTATATATAAAATTCATACAAACGCTTGACAAAAATAATGTGATATTATTATAATTATTATTATTATTATTATTATAAATAAAATTTTTTTCAATAATATTTTGTTTTGAAGTGAAAGATCTATGTATAAATTTTTTGATAAAATCATTCTTTTGAAATATATGGCCATTTTTTTTAAATCATTTTATAACTCCAAATATATGATATTATAATGAGTTCATTTGGGAAGTTAATTATTTTAGTTGATTTTTAGTTTTTTTTACTATTTTTTATAGTCGATTTAATAGTTGTAAGAGAAAAAATAAAATAATTATAATTTACATGTGACATTTTATTTTTGTTAACTATTTTAGTCCAAAATCTTACTTCCAAACCGGACCAATATAAGATAAATTAAAATTTTATTTTTTATAGTTAGACCCAAATTTTAATTTTGTCTTTTTCATCTAAGTTAGTCCAATTTCAATCAATCAATTAATCATATGGTTTGTGGCAGATGGACCACGCAGTAAGATTGGGCTGCATCCAAGCCCCACAACTCCAGCACGTTTATCAATAGGCGGCGGCCGCGGCCACAGTTCTCCTACACTGGTGACCAAACGATCGAAATTTGCCGTTTACAACACCATGTTGTACGGAACTTGCATCGGCCGTGCTAAGAATCGGGCACGTTCTTTTACTATTTATAAATTATAATCGCTCATCACCGCCACATTAATGTATAGCTAATTACAGTTTTTGTCTATAATTTTTTTTGTGTTATTTCAGTTTATAAAATTTTAATTAACTAATTTTTAATTTTTAATTTTAGATTTTGTATTAATTTAATCCAATTAATAATATTTATTAAAAAATTATAAAGAAAAACAATTACACACACAGTTCATGTGTGTATTTTTTTTATCAAATAACACTAATAATTATAATCAATTGAAACAAATTGAGACAAAATCATAAATTTAGAGTTAAAATTAAGTTAATTAAAATTATAGAGATTAAAATGGCACATGAATCAAAATACAAAGATTATTAGTGAGGTAATGTTATGGTACATGTGTGTGTCAATTTCCGACCACACTGCCAATCAAGAACTCAGCTGGAGAATACTAGTAGAATAGATTAAGCCTGAATGACCTGTCACAAAAAAGAAGAGATTCCGGCGGTGGTTCATCCACCCATGGGCACTCCGACGATCAAGTCAGTTATCTCTCAAAGATAGCAAAAGTGCTTAACTCACTATTCAGAGTATAAAAGCATACCTTAAATCCATGAGGGTGCCTCTCTTTTATAGCCAACACAAACCTAGTCCCAATAAAAACCTAAGTTCAATGGACTTAGGATTACTGCTAATCTTGGACTCCCAGTAGGATTGGGATAAACTCTCTAAGAGTCTTATCTTTACCCAAACTGAAGTTCTCTTTCATTCTAGGACTCTTGTCCATTATCCATTTATCCCAGATTCCGATATCTTCGTAGATAACCTCGACCTAGCCGAGATCATCTCTGTGTCATGATCAGGACACGTGGCACCTCGGCTAGCACTTCGGTGACACCTCGGTCACGTGTTGTCATTCAAAATTTATGTCCCCACAATTACCCCTTAGGTTCTATTACCTCGGCATCCTGAGGTGATGGAACCTATATCATTCCTTCCTTTAATCATGACCCCGGTTTAACTTCAGCTTGTAAATTTTTCTTAAAATTCCAACAAGTGTTAAACATGACCTCGATTTAATTTCAACTTGTAAATTTTTCTTAAAATTTCAACAAGTATTAAACATGACCTCGCACTACAACAAATTAGGTCTTGAATGACAAATGTTTTTTGTCTCCAAAGAACTAATTTCGTCACTATAGATATTTGTGAAGAAATATTTTCGTCATTGAATGTTTGTCAATAAAAATCATCGTGAGGAAAAATAATTTCGTCACATATAAAATTACTTTAGTGACGAAAACTTTTGTCACCAACTAGATAACATTTTCTCACAAAAAATCCTCGTTTTCGTCACCAAATAATTACTCAGTACCGTATATATAACTTTGGTTGACGAAAAAATTTGTCACATATATTGATCATGGGTGACGAAATATATTTCGTGGCAATAAGATGTATACATGACAAAATTTTTAGTCACCAAACTACAAAATCATGCAGCGATAACTTTTGCAACAAAAAAATATTTACATTTCAATTTAAATTTTTATTTCACAAATATCCCTACCCATATCTCAATAGCCTGCAACATGTACTAAAAAATCCACAAGCTACTATACACCACTCAACAAAATAATTCACTAAACAATTTATATTATAAAACTAAAATATATCCATCAAACAAATTTAATAATAATCCATTAAGTATAACAGAAAGACCATCACAACTAATCCCAAAATTAACTATATATAGTCCACAAAAAAAAATCAACACTTGATCTTGATTTACAAGTAGAACTAGTATCAGTCCACAAAAAAGAAAAGAAAAAAATTCAGCACTTGATATTGATTTGCAAGTATGCTTCCAAATGTCATCAAAAATCAATCTGCAGAAAAGAATAAAAAAATAAAACTATTAATATATTATCAATTACATCTAAACTCATATATAAATAATTTTATTTTATAAACCAATTTAGCAGAAATGCATTTTTTTTTTTAAATTTGACTTTCATCTATCGTAAATCACAAAACAACAACTAATCTAATTGGGAGGGCAAGTTCCGGCAAGTTATATGAACACCTATGAACCTGCCAATATTTTAAACAATTAAGCAATATGATGACTTTTATTGTCATGTAAAATGGTTCAATGAACTTGAAAACTGGAAAGTTTCTGATCTACTAGTAAAAGGAGAGAAAGGAAAGAAAAGGCAGAGACATAGGTTTCTGAACTGACTTAGAATAGCTTCTAATCTTTAAACATTGGTTGTACACACACAATAACCAAAACCTCAACTAAATAGACCTATCCCTGCAAACATAGTGGAAAAAGTCATCATCCCACAAAGGCCAAATTCATTGAATCATAAAATAAAATTATCTGGCAATTGGCCACTCTGGCAATTGGCCCCCATTTGAGATTGTTTGATTTTTTTTTTCTTCAACTAGCAAGTTAAATAAGAATGAAGATATTAGAATCGACTTAAAAAATAAAAAATTAGAAGGGTAAGACACACAGATATAATAAACTACCAAAAAACAAATTTTGAGGACTGTTAAACATGAAATGTACATGTAGTTAAGCAGAAACAAAAAGGACACAAACTGAAAATAGCTGGAGATGGAAATTACAAGAAGCTATCACTCCATTACTTTGACACATTACCTAATTAACAGTTATAAGGGATAGCAAGGATGCAAATCACTGCTATTATTCATTAACAAGTGATTGAATTCTATATCATTAATTGACACCTTATTGGCAAAAGATAATATCAAAGCATCAACAAATGCAAGAAATGCCCTAAATTCCATCCGAATCTAGAAATTGATGAACTTAATCCAGTCAAATATTAGCACAAAAATGATCTTATCAAAACCCAGCAACCCTAATACAAGAATTAGAGTAACAAACAAACAGAGGATTCGAACGGGTCAACCCAAAACTATATTTTTTCTCATCAAACATTCTCACCCACAACCCTAAAGAAGAAAAAGAAAAAGAACAAAAAGTTAAATAAAATAGCTCTAGACAAACAACACGAATCAAATCTGATTGAATAAACAAAAAATTGTTGTTTTGTTCTTCGATATGGCTCAGGCCAGCTTAGAAAACAAAAGAAGATGCTTTTTTATCTTCTTTATTAAGTGCCACTGAAGTGCTCCCTTGCAAAAGAAATCTCCTAAGCATAATCTTTGTATGAGTATTTAACCGTCTTAATTGCTCCATAATTTAGAAATTAGATGCTAAAGTTGAATGTTATGATTTGCTCTAAAATGGATATGATTTTGGTTACATGGAATATAATGAAAACCTTCACAAGTATTGGAGAGGGGGTTGACAAAATATACTAACGAACACGAAGATATTTATGTGAGCCTACTAGATATTATTTCATGCATTTCACATTCGATACAGAAACAGAGACCACCACTCCCCAATTAGTGCCCTGTTACACAATTGATCTTGTGCATGTATTTTACTCCATGTTTTATACTTTAACTAACAAAAACTTCATTAAACAAAATCCAGCCGGTGCTTCAATTCAACTAAAGATTCTGATTGTCAAATAAAATCTCCCCTTTTTTTGGTAAGAATTCTGTGTGTTTAATAAAGAACAAAGAGGTGTAACTAATCTGTGAGAAGAGATACATAGCATCAAGGAGCTGTAGCATTTTTCCTCTTTACTATTGCAATCATAGTATCAAATTTCAATTCAAATAACCAGAATACATGTGAATACATACACAATCAATGACAAGATATACATGCAAATACATACACAATCTCAATGGATTAGGGCTCTGCTCTGTTCTTTGAAACTGATTAAGTCTTGGAAATTGATAAGAGAGAAAGGAAAAGAGGGGGAAAGGAATCAAACCACTCAAATCAAACCCATTTATGACATCAAACCCATAAAACCCCAAAAATTGAACCACTTAAATCAAATCCATTTAAGAAATCAACGAAGTCAAACTCAAGAAATCATATATACATGTATAAGAACGAATGAAGATGGAAAGGACCTCACCGCCACCTCACCTCGCCGCAGCTGCCAAAGTCGTCGTCACCCGCCCTTCTCTGCGTTCGAGTTTGCCTTGCTTTCCTCTCTGTTCGCCTCTCTCTCTTGACGAGTTAGGGCTTTCTCAACAAATGGGAGAGAGGGAAAAAAGTTAAAGGGAAAAATGAAAAATCAAAACGGTGTGATTTGAGGCAATTTTTTGGAAAACTAGTAGCTTATATTTTTTGCATTACCACTCAATATCTCAAAATTATCCTTTTAAAATTGGTGACAAAATTATTTCCTCACCAAAAAGTCTAAAAATATTAAAAATGATTAGTGACGAAAATATATTCCTCAGTAATAATTTTATAAGTGGTGACAAAATTATTTTCCCTCCAAAAAGTCTAAAAATATTAAAAATTATTGATGACAAAAATATATTCCTCACCTAATGGCATCAAAATATTAAAAATCATTAGTGACGAAAATATATTCCTCATTAATAATTTTATAATTGGTGACAAAATTATTTCTCACTGAAAGTTAGAAAATTTTGGCGCCACCCAAAAAAATTAGTGCAAAAATCTTTAGTAATGAAACTTAATTTTTCCTCACCTAAAACGAAATATTTATTGACGAAAATAAATTTCCTCACCTATTATTTTTATTTTTTTATTATATGTGACGAAATTTATAATTCCTCACGGATTATTCTTATTTAATGACAAAGTTTATTTTCTTCACTAGTTTTCGTCACAATAAGTTACTTTTGTTGTAGTGAGTATAGGGATATATGCAACATCCCGGATATCATTAATGCGAGTAGATCATTCACATACAAGCAGGAAAGGCAACCGTCATCATAACGTAATAGATGAAGTATAAAACAAGTGAAATTATGAGAATACATCCAAGTAAATGTATACTGTATCAAGGATTTTGTTCAGAATTGATCAAATTGAATACTCATTATTTCCATACACAATGTACAGAGAGAACCAGTTGCCACATTACCAAACCTCCATACAAACACCAAATGATAAGAAAGGAAGAGATAAAGCACCTCACCAACAAATACAACCACATCCCAATAGATTGATAGTTTAGGAGTGAACACTGGCTCGGTAAGCCCACCTAGAACCTATAGCGATCCCGGTTTTCCCCTTCATGTATTGTATTCCGAACTCAGGTTCCATGGTTGATTGTTGTTGTCTATATCTTGTTTCCATCCTTTAATTCTTTGTATTTGAGTTGTGGGATGTGTTGGGTAAGTTTGAAACCGGTTGGTTGTGAGTTGAAACAAATGGTTGCTTCCCAGGATTTGGCTTCTTCGCACGAGCAAGGCTTTTTGCGTTCAAACGAGCCTTTTTGAGCTCGAGCGAGCCTTGGGTATTTGTTTCTTCGCTCAAGCGAAGGTTCTTGCGCTCGATCGAGCTTAGTGAGGTGTATCTATTCGCTCGAGCGACACTTTTACGCTCGAGCATGCGTCTGCATCTCTTTTAGACCTGAAGGATGGCATTCTTCTCTCGAGCGAGCTTTCTTGCGCTCGGGTGCCTCTGTTTTATAGCCAACACAAACCTAGTCCCAATAGAAGCCTAAGTTCAATGGACTTAGGATTACTATTAATTTTGGACTCCCAATAGGATTGGGATAAACTCTCTAAAAGTCTTATCTTTACCCAAACTGAAGTCCTCTCTCATTCTAGGACTCTTGTCCATTATCCGCTTATCCCGGATTCCGGTATCTTCGCAGATAACCTCGGCCTAGCCGAGATCGTCTCGGCGTCATGACCAGGACACGTGGCACCTCGGCTAGCACTTCGGTGACACCTCGGTTATGTGTTGTCATTCAAAATTTATGTCCCCACAATTACCCCTTAGGTTCTATTACCTCGGCATCCTGAGGTGATGGAACCTATATCATTCCTTCCTTTAATCATGACCCCGATTTAACTTCAGCTTGTAAATTTTTCTTAAAATTTCAACAAGTGTTTAACATGACCTCGATTTAACTTCAACTTGTAAATTTTTCTTAAAATTTCAACAAGTGTTAAACATGACCTCAGTTTAACTTCAACTTGTAAATTTTTCTTAAAAATTTCAACAAGTGTTAAACATGACCTCAGTTTAACTTCAACTTGTAAATTTTTCTTAAAAATTTCAACAAGTGTTAAACATGACCTCAGTTTAACTTCAACTTGTAAATTTTTCTTAAAAATTTCAACAAGTGTTAAACATGACCTCAGTTTAACTTCAACTTGTAAATTTTTCTTAAAAATTTCAACAAGTGTTAAACATGACCTCAGTTTAACTTCAACTTGTAAATTTTTCTTAAATTTCAACAAGTGTTAAATATGACCTCAATTTAACTTCAACTTGTAAATCTTTCTTTAAAAATTTCAACAAGTGTTAAACATGACCTCAGCTTAACTTCAACTTGTAAATTTTTCTTAAAAATTTCAATAAGTGTTAAATCGATCTTGGTTTGAAAATTCCAACTCCCAAGCATCATTCTCCAGCCCTCTGAATGGCTTCCACCTACTCCTTTGTGGACCTTATATAAAAAGTCTTTAACTTAGGCTGAGATTTTCTCTTCTCGGACTTAAATCATCTAGGTCGAGATCTTGTCTTCTGAAATCTAGAATCTGCTCACTTTAGGCTGAGCTCTTCTCTTCTCGAACCTAATCATCTAGGCCGAGATTGTGTCTTCTGGGATTCTCCATGCCCGACTTCCTACGAAGGCCGGTGAGAATGTCCCTTGGTCCCGCCATGCTGAGGAACTGCAGGAAACGTATTTTGCCCTCCTTTTTGGGCACCCTTCTTTGCCGCTAGAATCAGCGTATCTTGTAGCGGGAACGGTGGCTACATGACATTGTTCTGCATCAGGAAATTGACGACCGTTTGCAGGTCTGCCAATTTGTCCGTAATTCCCTTCATCTCGTCGTCCCTTCGCAGGTATCTATCTTTCCATACCTGGAGGTTGTCCTCGTTATAATACCTGCTCCGGTCCGATTTCTTCGATACGCCACCCTCCTGGCCGATGTTCTTGCCTCCTGTGATTCTTATCACGAGTCTCTTCGTTGCAGTTGTCTTCTTCGACGTCAATGTCAATATGTTTTCCACTCTCAGTAGGGGTGTCGTCCCTAATATTCTCTTTTTTTCCGTCGTTGGCCATATATTCTTTTTTCTTTCCCACAGACGGCACCAAATTGTGTGTGTCAATTTCCGACCACACTGCCAATCAAGCACACAGCTGGAGAACACTGGCAGAATAGATTAAGCCTAAACGACCTATCACAAAAAGAAGAGATTTCGGTGGTGGTTCGTCCACCTGGGAGCACTCCGACGATCAAGTCAGTTATCTCTTAAAGATAGCAAAAGTGTTTAACTCACTATTCAGAGCATAAAAGCATACCTTAGACCCATGAGGGTGCCTCTCTTTTATAGTCAACACAAACCTAGTCCCAATAGAAGCCTAGCTTCAATGGACTTAGGATTATTGCTAATCTTGGACTCCTAGTAGGGATAAACTCTCTAAAAGTCTTATCTTTATCCAAACTGAAGTCCTCTCTCATTCTAGGACTCTTGTCCCTTATCTGCTTATCCCGGATTCCGATATTTTTGCATATAACCTCAGCCTAGCCGAGATCATCTCGGCGTCATGACCATAACACGTGACACCTTGGCTAGCACTTCGGTGACACATCGGCCACGTGTTGTCATTCAAAATTTATGTCCCCATAGTACACACCCCTCAAAAGCTGTCATACCATATGCACGTCTGTTACGTATTTGTGTGGTATATGTTACATATTTTTGTAGTAAATATTATATTTTTCTTGGTAGAGTTACAAAAATATACACACTTTTTGAGAAGTGTGTACCATAAAAATTTCCATTATTTTAGTGTAAGCTGTCATTGAAGATAAAACAAAATAAAGCCTCTCCGTCTGGACTATAAGATGATGAGAATAATAATTTTCTTGTTTTTTAAGTGACATACATGCTCTCCGTCTGGACTATAAGATGATGAGAATAATAATTTTCTTGTTTTTTAAGTGACATACATGCCACAAGTATATCATTGATAATGATTTATTTCGCACAGCAAAGTGAGAAATTATACGAGAGTAATTGTGGGACCATTTTCTTTTTTCTTATTATTATTATTATTATTATTTATTCAACTAGAGAAGTGCTTGAAAAGCAAAACCATCGGCTATTTTTGTTAAATGAAAATGAATTTATTGATACATTTTTAAGGTGCATGAACAAAGTATCATATTTGATTGGTTTAAAATAATAGGCTCCTTATTTATAGGTAGTATTGTTCATAGTCAAAGTTGTGAAGACAGTAGAGTTCTGATATCAACATGCCCACTAGATCAAATAGCACATTTTTATAATATTATTATCAACCTCATTAGAATTTTCTCTTAACTATTTTATAGTAGAAAATCATAAAAATACACTCTATTAAGCTTAATTCTTAACTAATTACTTTAGTTGAATATCAAAAAATTAATTGTTAGAAAATATATTTAAAAAGATGATTAGCTAAAATAAAATAAAAAATATAAAAAAAAATTAGACTTTTAGTTAAAATTTAACTAAAAATTTAATTATTTTAATGGAGACGCTCTTACTATTATGAACGCCGGCCCTAGGCAAAAACCCACAAAACAACGCTTTCGGCCCCAAAAAAAATAGCTCCAAATTAGGGCCCAACTTTGTCCAGCACTTATATACATGGCTCAAAATTAAAACATTCATAGGTTGACTGAATGGCCCAAACTCAAGGCAAAGGCCCCAAACCAAAAGAAAAGACCCAAAAAAAAAATCTCACCATCAACGGGAATTTTTATGGTATATACCCCTCAAAGAGTGTATCATATGTACCTGCTATGTATTTTTATAATAAATATTACTTAAATTTTTGATACAGTTATGATAATTTGTAATTTAAAAATGTAGTTACGCATTTGTGATAATTTTATGCATTTTTTGTTGTTGGTAATATTACAAATTTTTTTATCCAAACATTTTCTCACAAAAAAAAAATGTGTAACATTTCCAAAACAAGCATAATATTACCACAAAATACGTAACTTCCTTTCTGAACTACAAAATATCATAATTGTACCAAAAAATGAAGTAATATTTATTACAAAAAAGTGTATCAAATACCACAAAAATGGGTAACAAAGGTGCATATGATACACTCATTTTAAGGGGTGTGACCCTGTTGATACATTACTCGAGATAAATTATGAACTAGTCCTACGTGATGGATTTAGATACCTATAAATCCTCTATATTTTTTTAATACACCAATAAATCTTAAAATACTTATTTTTGCCTAACACAAT